CTCCCTTTCCACACATCTCTGTGGGGACTCACCATCTTTCAGAGCTCCTGCCTCTACTCCCCTGCTGCCAAAGACTGAATTACCTCAGCCATAGGGAGAAACCCAACTTAAATAGTGCCCCAGGCGCCTCCCCTTTCCTCACCATCTCTTGGGAGGCCACAACAGCTGTAAAATAGAGGTAGCAGGGACATAGCAGCTCATTTCCAGGACAACACCAATAGAAGGAGGAACTGTTAAGCAGAACAGGTCTTGGCTGTGGATCTGAAGACTCGGGATTTCAATCATACTCATGATCCATGTGAGACTGAAAAAAATATGCACATGTAGAAAAGTTAGTGGGAGGGCCCTGCTGTAACTGCTGGCTTCATTTTAAGTAGGAGAAAAGGACGGTCTAGTAGGTAGGATACTGAACTGAGCCTGGGAAGTCATGGGTTCTATTCCTAACTCAACCACAAAGGCCCAGATCTGTCCTCAAAGGTATTTAGATGCTTAACTCACACTGATTTCAATGGGAGTTAAGTGCCTAAATACCTTCTTAAGAATCTGGACCAAGTTTCCTAGGTGACCCTGGGCTAGTAATTTAATTTCCCAGGCCCCCTATCAACTAAGAATAACACGTCCCTACTTCACACGCATTGCACAGGTAGAATCCCTTAATAATCACGAGGTGCACAGAGACTGCAATGATGGGGGCCAGAGAAGTACCTAGGCTGATTGAAATTTACCTGGATTCCTTATGCCAGTCCCAGGGTTACAGACAACCCAGGATCTGTGATCAGGTAACAGGGTTTATTTCCTTATTCGCCGTCACATCTGAAGGAAAACAGAGCGAATTCTGAGCCCCTCAAGTCACACCGGAGTCAAGTCCGGCCTCACCGATCTCTACATGGAACCGCTGCAGCTGCGCCGCGGCAGCACTTCAGCTGGCCACTCAGCACAGCCCTCTCTGTAGCTGCAGTCTCTCCCTGGCCCTGAGAAGAAGGAGTTGGTTTGGTGCTGCTGGTACTACCAGAGAAAGCGGTGGGTTGTGGGGGTGGGTGGAGACCACGAAGCAGTTCAGGGAAGGAGCTGAGAGGGTAGAGCCCAGAACTGCTGAGCTGAGGGTCCCTGGACTGGAACCCAGAGAAGAAGGTGGGCCTGGGTTCCCCTACCAGCCACTGAGGGTGTGGCATAGAACTGAGGCAGTGAATGGGAAGACTGCCTAGGACTACTGATGGACTATACCCTGGAAGAGGGGGGGAACTACCCTAGAGTGACCACGAGTAGGTGCCAGAGTAGCAGGGAGTGGTGTACCCTGTGACAATGTAATACACTTACAGGTAATTCACATGCTGCTTGACTTAAACTGGATTTTACTATTGGCTAAAGTTCTTCTACCTCTTTAATGTTAGTTTTCCTCAAGTAGATTGACTGCTGGATTAGTGGCTTGGAGGCAGCAGGTTGCAGGCCCTTGTTCTGCCAGATGCTGTGTGAATATTCTGTTTTGAAAGGAGGTGGGTAATAACTGGACATTTTGCTTACCCTTGTTGGTTGATCTATATGGTGCTAGTCACATTTTCCATACAGGCTAACTGCCCAATTGAAATATTCACTTCAAAAATGTCACCAGGGTGATCAGAATAAAATGAGGCATGGAAACACTAGCATCTTGTACCCACTAATCCCCTCTGATGTTCAGTGATAGAACTGAATATTGTGACAGTCAGCAGTGACCCCCCCCCCCGCAACAGCTAGCAGCCTTTATGTCAACCATCAGAGGGATAGCCGTGTTAGTCTGAATCTGTAAAAAGCAACAGAGGGTCCTGTGGCACCTTTAAGACTAACAGAAGTATTGGGAGCATAAGCTTTCGTGGGTAAGAACCTCACTTCGTCAGATACAAGTGACTAGCATCTGAAGAAGTGAGGTTCTTACCCACGAAAGCTTATGCTCCCAATACTTCTGTTAGTCTTAAAGGTGCCACAGGACCCTATGTCAACCAGTGACCATTAGAGGGAAGCAGACATCTCAAGTACACAGTAGCCTGAACTTTTCAACTGTTTTCCCTTTCAAGGCCTTAAGGTAGTTGGAGCTGGTCCCAAGCCGGTTTTCACTGACCAGATAGCAGAAGCACGGGTCTCGCAACCACCAATCAAGTGTTAACACGGCAAGGGCCTTTGTCTGAATGTGTATAAAGGATCTGTAAAATGCGTGTAAGACAAAGTTTTTGTACTAAGGTACAAAACTCTCTTTTCTTCTGCAAAATAAAGCAACTCTTCCTTATCCCTGTCTGGCTGTTATTGGCTCTCAGCTAGGTGGACCCAATATTTCGGTGACAATATCCTGACCTATGTGCGTATCCATGTGTATGCACACACAGGTACTTCATAGCTGAGGTGCTGGTGCTGGATGAGACCTTGTGCTAAATCCTTGCAGGCACAAAAATGAAAGAGGGAGATAAACAATTATTCCCAGTTACACCATGCAGAAGCCTCCAGTTGTTCCTGGCCTACAGTGCTTTATCTACTTCTGAACATAATGACTCCTTGTCCAGTCATTTTTGCTGTGGCTCACTCTTCAGGAGGCTGAATCATAGGTTGGGAAGGGACTTCGAGAGGTCATCTAATCCATTTCCTGCACTCCTGGCAGGACTATGTATTGTCTAGATGAGTGGTTCTCAAACTTTTGTACTGGTGACCCCTTTCACATAGCAAGCCTCTGAGTGTGACCCTTCCCCACCTTCCCCTCCCCCCCCAAATTAAAACCACTTTTTAATATATTTAACACCATTATAAATGCAAGAGGCAAAGCGGGTCTGGGGTGGAGGCTGACAGCTCACGACCGCCATTGTAATAACCTCACAACCCCTGAGGGGTCCCAACCCCCAGTTTGAGAACCCCTGGTGTAGACCATCACTGAGAGATGTTTGTCTAACCTGCCCTTAAAAATCTCCAATGGTGGAGATTCCACAACCTCGCTAGGCAATTTATTCCAGTGCCTAACCACCCTGACAGGAAGTTTTGCCTAATGTCCAAGCTAAGCTGTCCTTGATGCAATTTAAGCCCAATGTTTCTTGTCCTATCCTCAGAGGTTAAGGAGAACAATTTTTCTCACTCCTCCTTGTAACAACCTTTTATGTACTTGAAAACTGTTATCTTGTCTCCTCTCAGTCTTCTCTTTTCCAGACAATTTTTTCAATCTTCTCACGTAGGTCATGTTTTCTAGACCGTTAATCATTTTTGTTGCTCTTCCCTGGACATTCTCTAATTTGTCCATATCTCCCTAAATGGTACTGGTACTGGACTGGACACAATACTCCCGTTGAGGCTTAATTAGAAGGAGTAGCTTTCTCCACCTTCTGAAATAAAAAAAAGTCTCCAATACATTCCAAGAACTTTTTGGATAATCTGTGCTCTGCTATATTTTCCCAATAGATGTCTGGGTAGTTGAAGTCCCCCATCACCACCAAGTACTGTGCTTTGGATGATGCTGTTGTGGGTTTTTTTTTTTTTAAACCTTCATCCACCTCTTCTTCCTGGTTAGGTGGTCTGTAGTAGACATCACCCTTATTTTTTACTCCTTTTATCCTTACCCACAGACTTTCAACAAGTCTGTCTCCTATTTCCTTAGTCCAAGTGTATACATTTTTAATATATAAGGCAACACCTCCTCCCTTTCTTCCCTGCCTGTCCATCCTGAGCAAGCTGTACCCTTCTATACCAATATTCCAGTCATGCATATTAGCCCACCAAGTCTCTGTGATGCCAACTATGTCATAGTTGTGTTTTGTTAAATAGCATTTCAAGTTCTTTCTGCTTATTCCATGTATTTCTCGTATTAGTATACAGACACCTCAGTTACCGATTTGATTCCTCTGCCCCCTCCCCTGTGTTCTCTCTTGTCTCTCCCTTATCCCTGATAAAACGGTCCCTGCTCCCCCCAGATACTGACCCTTCTCCCATGTCTCCATGTTTTTGACTTACCTGTGGGCTTTTGTCACCTTCCCCCATCGAACCTAGTTTAAAGCCCTCCTCACTAGGTTAGTCAATCTGTATCCACATGTGCTCTTTCCCTTCCTCAATTGGGGAACCCCATCTCTGCTCAACACTCCTTCTTCATGGAACAGCATCCCATGGTCAAGGAAGCCAAAGCCCTCCTGGTGACACAATCCTCATACTAGGCATTCACCTCCAGGATGCATCTCTCTGCTTGGGCCCCTACCTTTGACTGGAAGGATCAAAGAGACCACCTCCTATGCCCCCAACTCCTTCACACTTACTCCCAGATCTCTGTAGTCATTTCTGATCTGCTCAGGATCATACCTCACAATATTGTTACTGCCCACATGGATGAGGAGCATGGGGTAATAGTCAGAGGGCTGGATGATCCTCGAGAATCCCTCCGTAATGTCTCGGACACGGGCCCCTGGCAGGCAGCATACCTTCTGGGATGCCATTTCAGGCTGACAGATGCCTCTGTCCCCCTCTGAAGAGAGTCACCAACCACCACTACCATACGTTTCTTCCTTGGACTGGTGCATGAGATCCTCCTAATCTTGGGGGTCCATGGCTTCTCCTTCTCCTACGTGCTTCTTGAGAGAATCCACCAGCAGACACCTTTCACACTGGATGGTGTCTCCAGCCTGGCTTTCTGAGAGTGGGAAATGCAGGCCACAGTCTCTGCAAATCCAACAAGGATCTGGGTAGAGGGATCCATGGTTAGGTTCTCTGGATATAGGTGCAGGTGGAGGAGACAGGAGCAGTGTTGGCACTGGTGATGCGGCCTTTCCTAACCATAGTGATTTATATTATGATTCCCTCCTTAAAAACTCCCTTGTTTGGTCGCTTAGAATCTGGCTTTTAAGGCCTTCTCGCCTAGGTCAGCCCTACCCCCTCATTAATCACACAGGGAGAGGGTGATAACTGGGCCGATTGACTGAGGCAGATCAAAGATGATCAAGGATGATCCAGGGAACAAAGGCTCAAACAGTCCCCAAACACACAAATCCAACTGACCCTGTGTCAAGGTTCCCTCCCTACTCTGAACTCTGGGGTACAGATGTGGGGACCCACATGAAAGACCCCCCTAAGCTTATATTCTACCAGCTTAGGTTAAAACTTCCCCAAGGCACAAATTCCTTTCCTTGTCCTTGGACAGTATTGCTGCCACCACCAAGTGATTTACACAAAAATTCAGAGAAAGGTCACTTGGAATCCCTGTCCCCCCCAAAATATTCCCCCCCTTTCCTGGGGAAGCTTGAGAATAATATACCCAATTGGTTAGCAATGTGAGCATAAACCGGACCCTTTGTCTCAGGACACTGAAAATCAATCAGGTTCTTAAAAGAAGAACTTTATGATAAAGAAAAAAAGTAAAAGACTCACACCTGCAAAATCAGGATGGAAGGTAACTTTAGAGGGTAATAAAAAGATTTAAAACACAGAGGATTCCACCCCTGGGCTCAGCTTCACAGTTACAAAAACAGGAATAAAACTACCTTTGTAGCATAGGAAATTTCACAAGCCAAAACCAAAGCTAACCTAATGCATTTCTTTGCCCTACTTACATTTTTTTGTAATTTTAGATGGATCATTCCAGGTATATTTTCAGGAGATGTTGTACCTGCTTGGTCTCTCCCTCCGTCTGGATAGAGAACAACAAAGAGAGAGCACAAACAAAACCTCCCCCCCAGATTTGAAAGTATATTCTTTCCTCATTGGTCCTTCTGGTCAGGTGCCAACTAGGTTATTTGAGCTTCTTAACCCCTTACAGATAAAACGATTCAGTACAGCTGCCAAGGAGGGATTTTATGCTACTCATTTCTCTATATTTATGACACCCTGTAACTTTAAATAACCTGAAAGAGAAAGAAAAGCACAAACAGCCAAACAAATCCACTCACCCCAAGATTAGTACTCACACCTTGTTCGTTCAGCAGGGGGACCTCCGTCTCTCCCTCTCAAACTCCCCTGTTTGCTAGTTCCCCTTGGTCACTTTTTAAAAAATTGAAAATTGAGTCTAGGAGAAAGAAACTAGCGAGCAAGGAAGATGAAAGAGGGGGGGAAAAAGCTGTGGATACTGTACAGTTTAACAGAAATAACTAGACCTTAGTGGGATAACATTGC